TAAAATATGGAGTCTCTCAATTACCTGCATTGTTTAGAGTGTTACACATCTCTTTTCATCAGTACATATACCGTTGTTTACCTCTGTATGGAGGAGAAATTCCAATGAATTAATGCGGTTGTGGTTCGTCCTGCTGTCCACTTTCATATTCTGGCTCGAACATGTGAGGCAGGATTTGGAGTACTGTCACTAACAAAAATGTGACTTATTTCTCAATGTTTTTTGTTTATGCATTGTCCTGGCTTCCCAACAGGTCTTATGTTGAAAAGTGTTCCCCTGTGAAGAAGTGTTTCCCCTATTCAAAACTTGGTTTCATGTAGCGGGGGCGCTCAGTAGTTATGGTTAGGATAATGTTAGGATTCAGTTTAAGGGAAATACGTCTCTACGGGGAAACAGATTTCAACAAAACATCAGCAGCAGGAGTTTTTTTGGCCACTATTCTGCTATAAGATGTAACCCTGAATAGGTCTGACTTTCCTCGTTTGCCTTTTTTCCAAAAAATGCTTCAGAGGGTGTAACAGTCTTTTTCTGACATTGCCTTACTATAGACAGACAAAAGTAAGGACACCTGCAGGAACTGCATCACTTTACAAGACTTAAATTACTTCCACTGCTGCAGAAAAGATAGATGTTAAAGTATCACTTTACCCCTGAAGAAGGCTTGTTTTATAATACATTTACACACATTTTAGGTTTTCTGTGCCTTTTTCTGTTTGTTTTACATATGGGAGTTAATTTCATAAATTTGTACCACTGAAGGTTATACACTGGAGTGTCATAAATACTGAAAAAAAATGATAAATGGGTAGTCTGCCTGTGTACTATGTTCTGCACCAAGTACAGGCAAAGGAATATTTATGTTTTAAAGCTTATTTGACACCAAAGCACAGTGGTATGTAGTACTGACAGACAGGACTGTACCACTCTGGAAAGTTACCAGATGATAACAGTTTTATCTTTGACTGTGACAGTCTTGTGGTAAACAGCAGAAATACAGCATTTTCACACTAAAAGGTAATCCACCAAGAATACCTGAAAAGGTCATCTTGCACTGCAGAAGAAGTTGGAAAAAATGTAACTTTTATTCTTGAAAAAGCTGCATTGTTTTGGCAGACCACCCTGTGGTGCTGGTCCTTACACTTCCCCATTCAAATGAATGAGAAAGGCTGTGTTTTTCCACACAGAATCAGCTTTGTGTGAATGCTGCCTAAGCCTTTAGGCCAAGCTTCTTTTTACCTCATTGAGCATTCTGCATTGTGGCATTGGAGTCATCTTAGCTGGGTGTCAGCTACTATCGAAAGTAGCCATAGAATTAAATCACCTCCATTTAAACATAGTTTGTCAAACTGTGAAATGATGAATTTTTAAACTCTTTCAGATTACTCTGCAACCCTTTCCAGCTTTGTGCAAATCAGCAATTCTTGCTCTTAAACTTTCTTAGATCTCTTTATGTGAGGCCTGGTTCACATCAGCAGATGCTTCTTGTGAAAATCAAACTCAAAACTTTTGTGCGTTTTTTACAAGTCAAAGTAGCTCTAACCCACACCTCTAATCTAGTTTTACTGATTAGACTGCCGGTTTGTTATCTCCTGACTGGAGTTACTTTTGTTGATGTCATTAGCGAGTTCAGACTGGTCCAGTAAAAACTCAACTGCCTGCTGTGTTTAAGTGGGGGGGTGTTGTAGACATGTACAATATGGCCACATTGTGATGAGTCAACGTGAGTGGCTTCATTCATGCTTCCAGCCCAGGAATTTCCACTGTGCTTTGCTTTTCTTCCCCTGGGTGTCCACGTCCCCATCGTCCCCTGGTTGTTCAATGCAGCGCTTTTGCCAGATGATGTCACTCTCTAGTGTGGTGAACCAGATCCAACTTTTTCCACCACACAGGGTTGCATCATTTTGCCGGAGCCCCCTGCAGTGCTGCCTGCAGTGAACGCAATCCCTCATAGAACTGAATGGGGAGAGCTGTCTTTTTTCACACCTTTGAAATTCAGTCTGTACACAGCCTTAGTCTAGGGGTTCACATTTCCAATCTACACTGTGAATGTTTTGAATAATATATTCAATATGGACAAGAACAAGACATGGATTTTTGTATTGTTTGAAAAATAGATGGTGGTTGTTCAAAACTTAGATAAAGGCCTGACCATATTGTAAAGCAATAACTACAGACAATTCCATTTTTTTTCTTGCCACTGTAAATAAACTTAGATTAATCATCTCAAATGCTTGTCTGACTCTGACCAAATGTAAACAGAAAATAGCTATTCTGCCTAGGGACACACTTACAGGGCAACTATCCAGAAATGTCATCAGGACCCAAAGCCAGTGTGCCTAAAAATTAATATGGATTAGGTTTGAAATACAGTTGTTTTTGGCAGCCTGTTTTAATTTTAGTTTTTGTCTAGTCTTTGTGTGAAGCTGTCATTTTAGTTTTTATTAGTTTTAGTCA